AAAAAAAATGATAATGCAATGAATGCACACAGGGGAACAAACGGTACTGTAAAGTCTTGGCAAAGACCTAGAACTTTGCTGAGGCTGCAGTGATAAACAATCAGATATTGTGTAAACTCATTCTGCATACGTCCAAGTTATAGAAAGTATTAATGTGAATTTACATTTCTTGCCCTTGCAGCAGGTTTATGTTCTGCTACAATTACGCTCGCACGAAGGAATCTCGACTACATAACATGCAAACATAAATATTCTGCAGTAGCTAAAAGCATTTATTACATTGACACGAGTTTTCTTCAGAAATTTTATTAAAAGTAAAAAACGGTAGCTTAATTCTTGAGATACGCACACCTCATGGAGAATATATCTGGTCAGTAGGAAAAACTCAATCCTATTTTTATTTACAGGGAAGATAAGTAGAAATAGCAGCAGTTCTAAGAGACCTTGTATTTAAGATCAGACATTTCAGTAGAAATCCATCATTAATCGAGGAAAAATATGAAGTACCTCAGCAGGCAATAGAAGGGCAAACATAAGCTTTGTTCAAAGAGAAGACAAAAGCGATAATGTAAATTAAACAGATATATAACATAGGGAAAAGTAGCTTCTCAATCAAAGAAAAAATCCAGCAATGCATCCCTACTCACAGTTAGATGTATAAAATTCTTGTAGATCATAATCTAATACTATGTCAGAGCAATACTGATAATTGAAAAACATGCAATATAGCACAAAACGGTGGTATTCTAATATGGTGCGCATTTTGGAACATTTTGATCAACAATATCAAGCCTGGATTTCTGGCATAGCTATGAGTTCCTAATGTCACTACTATTGCATGTGCACCGAATTCCAGAATACAACGTTGTTAAGGCATAAATGAAGGACGATCCCACATAAGCACATGGTGAGCTGTTTGGTTTATTATTTCTAACCAGTGATCCAGATGAGCTTTCGTATCAGCGGCAAGCATGACTCTATAAAAGATTTTTCTTCAAAATGAGAAAGAAAGAGAAAATGTAACAAATCCACCTTAGCTTCTCCACTTCTGGCTTGCCGTTGGATCGTCGTGGAGCTCCTTCTTTCGGGACCCAGACATCAATGTGGAAACTATTCGGATAAGGGCAAACATCGCTCACAGTCGATGCACCATCGCCGGCACAGGTTTGAAGGTCCAGCAAGACCAACCATTGCTGCAAAATGGGTATAAGCAAAGTACAATTTAACATAGTCCGAATGAGACCAAGAGGAAAAAGGTTAAGTTGGACCGATTAGAGTAATGAAAATGTACTCCAACTAGTGTAGCAGCTCACCTTCCCATCTCTTTCTTCATCTGGATTGCGCCAGAACCTCATTTCTCCACCTTCTAACACGCACCAGTACCTTAAATGAGCATATC